CCACTAGGTGGCATTCTGACATTCAGGTAGTGACTAGTTTTATCAGTAGTTTTAGTGGCAATTGGCATTCCTTATTTTTGACAATTATTGATAGGTGCCGCCCAGAGGTACAAAGTTGTACAGCGTTCCTTGTCACGGTGGGAGCAAAGGTGGAACAAGCATTGCTCACACGCTATGTCCTGGGTGAACCCTCTCAGCATTATTAGTATCTCTGGTCTCCTTACCTTGAGCCTTTCTCCGACGTAAAAAAAAAATTGAAAGATTATGAAATATTTTATAAGACTACCAGGGGTCATTACAATAAAATTATTTTTTATTAATATTACATTATTAACACTTTGGCATCGTGATGACGTTAGTATAGTCATTAAAATAATACACGCAGTTCGAGGCATGACAACACCACCGGCAATTAATTTTTGCTTATTTTTGTTAGTAAGTATAAACATTGTGAGTGAAAGAGTTTAACATTGAGTTGTGCGCTCACGAGCAATGCCAGTCCTACCTTGTGATGTGATGAGGGCAGCCCGCTGGGCCAGCAAAAGTGTCAAATAAAACTTAAGGTACTAATCTTAAGGTAAAACTTAAGATTCAAAAAGAATCCAAAACCAAGAGAAGGTTGGAAAGAAGTGCCAAGTCTGCTGGGTGGAATCGTTCATATGAATGTTATTTCTACAATATGCATCTATGCTTTGGGAAAATTTAAAAATGCCCATTAATGGCATTACTGATACTGGAGTGCCAGACAATTGAGCTTTTACTATGCTACCAGAACTTAGTATGCTTAAAATTGTACAATTTAAGTAAGCAAACATTCAACATATTTGCTAAACCAGAGATATTTAGGCTAAACTTACCTGCTGCTCTACATCGAACCACTACGTTTAAATGACTCAATATACATGAAGTACTATATATGGAAACAGATGAACATTTTTGAGAATTATATTATATAAAATTCAAAATACACTTTTGGACATGCACACTTTGGCAATTGAAATGTTCACAAATTTATTAATTTAAGAAATACAATAAATAATTTAAGTGGACTAAACTGAAAATTTCCTGTACAATTATTTTCCTCACAAAAACACGTAAGACATATGGATGGATATTATTTTAACAACCCATCCTCCTATTTAGATACTAATCTTTGTAGCTATGTGGACGTTGTACATCCATTGACGTAATTAGACAATTAGATAGTAGAATTTGATTCTGTTCACTTTAGAGAGAGTCTGGAAAAAATAAAGCCAAGAACCAAACTTAAATATTCCTAGGCCCAGCATAGCACATATATGTACTATATTAGGTCTCATATAATGTTTTAGGCCTAGGATGGTTAGGTGATTTTCTTTGCAACATCAATACCAAAACTTTTCCACTTTGTCCAAATTCAATAATACCTGTACTGATTTCCACTTTTTAATTGCGTTTTAAGTCAATATATGTACTGTATGTACGATGGTCTTCATCGTTACTACTACCTAAACACGAGGATGGACTCCATTTTGGAAGCAAATATTAACTTGTCAGAAAATAAATGTAGAATATATTAAAAAAATTTTAGTGTTAAAATCTGGGCAGGATTGGTATGGTGTACAGCCACAATGTGTGGTGATGGGACCTCTTGTTTGGTAATATGCACTTTCCAGTTGTTCTCATTTAACCTACAAATCTTCTGTTAGCCTCCTTATTACTTTACTACTGTGGTACTGTTCTCCTGTTGCCCGTACTGGACTACACTAATGCTGCGTAAGTGTTCTCCTGTTGCCTGTACTGGACTACACTAATGCTGCGTAACTGTTCTCCTGTTGCCTGTACTGGACTACACTAATGCTGCGTAAGTGTTCTCCTGTTGCCTGTACTGGACTACACTAATGCTGCGTAAGTGTTCTCCTGTTGCCTGTACTGGACTACACTAATGCTGCGTAAGTGTTCTCCTGTTGCCTGTACTGGACTACACTAATGCTGCATAGCTGTTCTCCTGTTGCCTGTACTGGACTACACTAATGCTGCGTAACTGTTCTCCTGTTGCCTGTACTGGACTACACTAATGCTGCGTAACTGTTCTCCTGTTGCCTGTACTGGACTACACTAATGCTGCGTAACTGTTCTCCTGTTGCCTGTACTGGACTACACTAATGCTGCGTAAGTGTTCTCCTGTTGCCTGGACTGGACTACACTAATGCTGCGTAAGTGTTCTTCTGTTGCCTGTACTGGACTACACTAATGCTGCGTAGCTGTTCTCCTGTTGCCTGTACTGGACTACACTAATGTTGCGTAACTGTTCTCCTGTTGCCTGTACTGGACTACACTAATGCTGCGTAACTGTTCTCCTGTTGCCTGTACTGGACTACACTAATGCTGCGTAACTGTTCTCCTGTTGCCTGTACTGGACTACACTAATGCTGCGTAACTGTTCTCCTGTTGCCTGTACTGGACTACACTAATGCTGCGTAACTGTTCTCCTGTTGCCTGTACTGGACTACACTAATGCTGCGTAACTGTTCTCCTGTTGCCTGTACTGGACCGTGTATTAATGCTGCTCCAGTGGGGACCATGTAAGGAACCTGTTTATAGCGCCCACTTCTACACTTAATTACTCTGCTCTAATACGAACAAAAATAATGACTGCCACACTGACATTACTTTTTAATATAAATTATAGACCTCACTTAATATATTTGTTATATCCACACATTTACACATCTTCAACAAGCAGGACATCTTGATAATAAAAAATATTGTACATATGTAAGGTATTATTTGCCTGGATTAAAACAAGCAAAGAAACATTAGGCTCTGTTCAAAATTAATCAAAATTAATATAAATATAATGTATGTTGTACCTAGTAACCACAATGCAGTGCTAGGCCTACTATGCAAGGACTTATTTGTCTAATAAGCCAAGTTTTCTTGAATTTATATTTTTTCTAAATTTGTTCTTATGAAATGATAAAGCTATCCATTTTATGATGTACGAGTTAATTTTGTTCAATTTAAGTTAAAATTAACGTTAATATATGACCAAACCTAACCTACCCTACCTAATCTTAACCTAACCTAAACTAACATAACTAAGTCAATAATTTCTGTTCCCAAGATAATATAATAATTTAAATAAACCAATTGGAAACAACTTATTAAAAATAAAGAAAATTACTCAGCCTATTAGGCAAATCAGGCCTTGCATAGTAGGCCGAAAAATGTGTCCTGGTTATTAGGTACGACATATATATACATTATATATATATATATATTATACACACAGTATAATATATAATGAGATCAAATTTTTATAACATTATGTAACTGTACGTAACTGCAAAGTAGATCTATGCAATTGTATTATAAACAATCCACAAAGATTAGAGCATGATTACAGTTGACCAGGTGCTTTCCAGACACCTCTTATCCGGATGTGCTTGGTATTCATGCTGGATTTGTCTGAACACGCACGTGTGTGATAAACTGCCGAGGTGAGTGGCCAATCACAATAGAAATGTGTGACAAAGTGGAGTGTGGCAGTCGTACAAGGACAGTACATCTACATGCAAGAGGGTTTGTCATCTGGTTAAATAGCCTGTCAGGCTAGACAGGCTGCACAGACTGCCAGACTGGAGAGAGAGAGAGAGAGAGAGAGAGAGAGAGAGAGAGAGAGAGAGAGAGAGAGAGAACCCTGGACAGATAGATGGTGATGCCATCTCCTTCCTGTTCATCCCTTCCCCTTCCACCCTTCCTCAACTCATCGTATAGGTTAAATTACATCAAAATCCATTTTTATTTTAAGTATTTAAATGCATAAATAACCAAACCAACACAACTTCTGTATTATGTTGTTATTTACAATTCATCACACAAGCAAGCAACTCCCACACCACTTCTGACCCTCCTACCTACAACCAACCCTCCCCCAATCCTTCCCCAGCTAGGGTTAACATGAGCCTGTGAACCCACGTATCTCGGGACCATCTCTAAGAGTTCATTAGGGATGTGGAAGACCCACTCTCCCAGCAACACCACACTCTCATACTTCCTCTGCCTACACCCATATGCAGGCACCAACATGCCGATACCCGCACCAACATGCCGATACCCACACCCACATGCCTTTACCCACACCTGCATGACAATACCCCAGTCATATATCAATACCCACACCTTCATACAAAGACCCAACCCTACTCCAGACATCCACACGCCGATGCAAACATCGACACCCAAAACTTCTCATATTCAAGAGTGCGACACAAATTTTCCCGAACAAATTGTCTATATTTTCCCTTAGACTTTTAGGATGTCTTGCCACTTATCCGAACATAACTAGTTATTCATTCAGTCTTGGTTGTAAGGTATCCGGAAAGCATGTAGTCATATCTCTGTCTGCCTCTCTCCTCTCTCTTCTCTCTCTGTCTCTCTCCTCTTTCTCTCTGCGTGCATGAATGTAGGTGTGTGTGTGTGTGTGTATGTACATGTGTGTCGTACCTAACAGCCAGAACTGCACTACTTGGCTTAGTAACAAAGGCCCAATTTGCCTAACAAGCAGAATGATTCATTATTTTCAAATATTTCTTTCCAATTGGGTTCTTTCCTAACAATATTAAATTAATATATTACAGTATATTAGGAACATATATTGCTGACTTAGTTGTGTTAGGTTAGGTTTTATCAAATTTGTATGTTAGTTTTGATTCAAATTAAAATCAGATCAAATCATATGTAATGTAATGGAAAGCTATATCATTCCATAAGAAAATTGTTAGAAAAATATAATATTTCAGTTAAATTTGATTTGTTTGGCAACTTGACCTATTAGGTACAACATACATATATACATAAGGTCTAAACGACTGAACATCTTGTGAGACCGGCTGTGGTAATACAAAGCCTCAGGAACACCCTAAGCCTCCAAAGTGTGACACACCCGACTCGGCACCGAGGTCACACTGTGACACAACTGACTTGGCACTGAGGTCACAGCGCGACACACCTGACTCGGCACCGAGGTCACACTGACACACCTGACTCGGCACCGAGGTCACACTGACACACCTGACTCGGCACCGAGTCAGTGTAACACACCCGACTCGACACGGAGTCACAGTGTGAAACAAAATTTGAAAGAGTATGCTAATATGAACAAGCCTATAAACACGAATACAAAAAGGCAACTCTATGCTATGATTACTGTGAGGTTTCAGTCCTTGCCTTCCTTAAAAGAGTGTATTGACCAACCATAAACAATGCGGTCAAACCCAGCTGTAAAGAGATTACAGCGTGCTCCCAGTGCGTCCTCACCCCAAGCCACACTGCACACCATGCGCCGGTGACACTGAAAAAAATTCATATACACTACGTTAATGATTGCAAAAACCAGAGGTATAACTAACTAGCAAATTATGGTAAATATTAGGAAAATTTAAATATTGTACATTACTGCACTGCATATGGACCCGGTCGGCCGAGCGGACAGCACACTGAACTTGTGGTCATGGGTTTGATCCCAGGTGCCGGCGAGAAACAATGGGTAAAAGTTTCTTTCACCCTATGCCCCTGCTACCTAGCAGTAAAAATAGGTACCTGGGTGTTAGTCAGCTGTCACAGGCTGCTTCCTGGGGGTGGAGGCCTGGTTGAGGACCGGGCTGCGAGGACACTAAAAAGCCCCGAAATCATCTCAAGATAACCTCAAGATATGAGTGGGATAAATGGGTGTGTGTGTGTAGTTACCTAAGTGTAGTTACAGGATGAGAGCTACGCTCGTGGTTTCCCATCTTCTCAGCACTCTGTCATATAACGCTTTGAAACTACTGACGATTTTAGCCTCCACCACCTTCTCACCTAACTTGTTCCAATCTTCTACCACTGTTTGCAAAAGTGAATTTTCTTATATTCCTTTGACAGCTTTGTTTACTTAGTTTGAATCTATGACCTCTTGTTCTTGAAGTTCCAGGTCTCAGGAACTCTTCCCTATCAATTTTATCAATTCCTGTTACTATTTAGTACAGTGATCATATAGCCTCTTTTTTTTTCTATCTTCTAGTTTTGGCATATTTAATGCCTCTAACCTCTCCTTATAGCTCTTGTCCTTCAGTTCTGGGAGCCATTTAGTTGCATGTCTTTGCATCTTTTCCAGTTTGTTGATGTGCTTCTTAAGACATGGGCACCATATCTTGAGGTTATCTCGAGATGATTTCAGGGCTTGGCATCCCCGCAGCTCAGTCCTCGACCAGGCTTCCTTTTTGTTACACACCCCCAGGAAGCAGACTGTAGCAGCTGTCTAACTCCCAGGTACCTATTTTTTTACTGCTAGGTAACAGGGGTATCAGGGTGAAAGAAAGTCTGTCCATTTGTTTCCGCCTCTGATGGGGACCGAACCCGGAACCTCAGGTCTACAAATCCCGAGCGCTGTCCACTCGGCCGTCAGGGTCTATGTTCTATTCCACATGGCATTTATTCACATTAAATTCCATTTGCCAAGTGGTGCTCCACACAGTTTTATTGACTCGAGGGTTTGGTGCGACACTTGGGGAGCTAGCCAGGCGGCTAGCAACAGGGAGTCACCGAGAGGTCCTACAATTTTTACTCAGCAGATTTATCTCGCCCATCCTCAAATATACGGCATGTATTTACTGCAATTACAAATATCCTCTCCATTACTTTTAAAAGCATACAGTATTGTCTGACACTTTATGGTTTTCATCTATGCAGATCAAATGCACTTTCTCTTACACAATTATTACGCAGAACTCAGTACTTTGCTACACAATAAAGGCTTTAAAAATAAGTCCAATTAAAATGAAAATACTTCTACGTCTGCAAGGAGCTATTCTTACCTTTATTCTACGGCATAAACAGTTTGCTCTTACCTGTCTGTTACTCCGTGGTAATCTAGCGAGGCGATTTCCTGTCAAGTCATAAAGACGTACATGACGGTTGTCATGAGGAATGGCAATGACATTGATGGGCGAGACAGCTAAACGATTTACTGGCGAATCAAGCCGAATCGTTGCTAATGGTGAACGCATATTCTTCACGTCCCATACCTGAGGAAGGCATAGTTAAAACTGTCATGGTCTGGACTAGGGTTGTGAACAGGAGTGTGTTAGAGTCAGTTCAAAGGAAACTTTAAACAAATCCTACTAATACTGTGATAATGAACACAGTTACAAGATAAATGCTATTTTTATCATTGACCAGTTTTTCATTTTCATGGAGCAAGGAGGCATCAGCCTCAAGGAAAAATTATAAGTTTACATTACTGAAACATATTTATGAATTAAAAAAACAAAAGCACTAATCCAATCATTAAACAGTACAGTACAGTACTATTAATACCAGACAGCATCACACACGCACACACTTGCTCTTACTCTGACTTGATGTGCACATCATAGAGGTACTGTATATCTAGGCCAAGTTATCTAGGGATATGATCAGTGGTGTAAAGAGTACAGAGCATGCAATGATTACAATGTGCGGCATTGAGTAAAGGGTGCTAAACGAGCTCCAGGAGAATACCGAGTACTGGGAGTATTATACAAATTGTTAAATCGTTATATGGAGTACATAATAACAATACAGTGTATGTATGAAAAAATCAGGAACCATGAGGAGGATTCGAACCTATGCTCTGGGTACTCCCAAGCACATGCCTTAGACCTCTCCACCATGACATGGTAAAAGCAATGCAGCCTGGGATTTAACTGAATCCTCTAGGAGTCCTGAGGATTCAAATGAAGCCAAGTCAAGATTTTCATGCATTGCCCCTCCTCCTCGTTCTCAGAGTTCACCTCCGATGTTTCTCTTCAAATGCATAAAGAAATCACATTAACATGATGTATCAATGAGAAAATCAGTGTCTCCCTTGCACCAGAATTATCCAATATGGATGCTTGAAAACCTCTGTTGCACTGGTGTGAGATGTCATCTGTGCCCTGATGATGCATGAGCCTGTCCATGGAACCAATATAACCTTGCCTGAAGAAATAATCAAGTGTCCAAGCCGAGAGCAAAAAAAACCAGCTTTGAAAGTAACGAAACACCAATTTCTTGGCAAGCGTCGGTGGCTTCCTGAAGCTACACTGCTGATCTAGTGCGAAACTACTAGGTACCATCAGTCACGGAGTTCTTGTAGGTCTACCGGGGACCACGAGCCAAAATCTGGCCTCTGCTAATGAGGCTCAGAGAGCAGTGGCACTATGATAAAATTATCAGTGAATTTTAATCATGTCTGCCACCTCCAGGGAAGCACTCACACCACTGTTGGTTATAAATAATTTTAACAGCTCAAAATTGTTAAAAGAACTCCCCTAAATGCCTGGTCCATGGTCCCAGTTGGTAATGTGTTGCCTTGGAGTGTATCTACTGGCCTATTTCCCTGTTCTTGGCTTTTTCCATAAGAAGTATCTTTGCACTGGTTTCTTCACCTGATTTTGCAGTTGTATGTACAAATGCAAGACTAGACATCATTAACACTTGACTTTAGCCCAGCTCAGTACCTTCCACTTGGACAACATCTTACGACTCTCAACAAGAAGTAGCTAGCTTCCTCTTGGGTATAGTGCTAGTTTAAGCCTTTGCTAACACATTCCCAGTGTTTGGAGTAGACATACTTGAAGGATGTTGCTTAAATTAAGTTATAAACATTAGTCATGGCTGAGAATAAACAGCTAATGGATACACCAAATAAACAATAATAGGTTACCCTTCCTTCCTTAGGGAGCCACCTCAATTATGCACACCTGCCCAATGACCAACAGTTTGCTCAACCTCCAACCTCGTCTCCTCCCTCGCAACTAAAAACATCCAACGATGTCAATACTTTTGTTGTCCACAATATTGTGGAGACGTGTTACTAAAAACTTGTAGTAATGAATACTGTAAGTCTGTAGTTATTTATGTTAAGGAAACCACATGAATGAGTGTTGTGACTAATTCTAGTCTTGGACTAGAGACTAAAGTTTTTACAAGCGTGGAACGAAGTGTGTTCATGTACAATGATGAATGGACAATTGCTAGCCTGCGAGTACACGGTACAAGACTGGTTAACAAGGAATATTTAGACTAAAACGCCTTGAAGTAATGAGCATAAAATATAAGCAGTGAATACTCTACTATTTCTGAGAAGCAATTAATTACAAATACATGACACAGCTACTAACCTTTACACTACGATCATCAGAGCCAGACACTACCTTGTCTTCTCTTGTAAAGCAAACAGATGTTACACTTCTGTAAAGAAAATTAAGCAATAAGACTGTATATACTGTACTCACATGTTCATTGAACTGTTCAAGTTCACTTTGTGAAGTTGAATAATATAAGCATAATACTTTTGAAAGTTAATTCTGCTCAGCACTCCACCAAACATTAACAAAAATTATATAATGATAAAACATATGTTACAAAACATTATAAATTTGATTATAAATCAAATACAGAAATAAATACAAATTCAGCAATGAATGTAATGAAACGCCATTTTCGGGTGAGCCCCCGAGGCTCCCTGGAGTATCGGGCTAATATGCAATCTTTAGACATGGGGCAATAGTCAATGGAGTTCTGCCTACCGGGGACCACTGGCCGTGGAAAACCACTCTGTGGTAGGGGGGAGTTAACCTTATCTGCCATTGATGGGGTTAGGGACCTAGAAATTCTAGGTAGGCATAACAAAACAGACCCCACATGGTTAGAAAAATACAACCGAAAGCCAAAAAGAGAGGTAGAACTCCTTCAATTCCCAAGGAACCAAGCAAACATCACCCCATGCAGTCGTGTCACTCTTCCACGAAGCTTTTTCCCCCCCTTGGGAGGGGGAAGGGGGAGCCCCGGACCCACCACGCCAGCTACTCAACCCCAGTTCAGAAGCTAAACATCAAAGGGAAAACAAAACTGCCGACCGGGAGGGAGGGTGCCAGGGAGCCTCCAGGGCTCCCTGGCACCCTCCCTCCCGGCATTTCATCACACCCTCCCAAAATGGCGTTTCATCACACTTAACGCTGGTTTTCTGTGGGGAGCCCTGTCAGCTCCCTGGAGCTACATAACCAAAGATAAGTAAAAGAGGGACTTGCCTGGGAGGTGGCCGCCAAATGCACCTCAACTTGAAGGTGAGAATATCAGCCCAAGACACATTGTCAAAGACGGCAGCCAAAGCAGCAAACTTCCGAATGTCATGGGCACGAGGACAGACCGCAGGCTGGCTAGACTTAATAACCCTGCGGACGACCTGCAAGACCCGAACCCTGGAACAGGGAACGAGTGAAACCAGCCAACCCAAAGCACATCCCCAGCCACAGAAGCCGATGCGCACAGCTAACGGCAAAGAGCAGCAACCAGACAACACATGATGCTCCCCCAGCTTGACCAACCAAGCAACAATGACCCAAGGACCCCTCTGGAAGGCAGCCATCTCATTCTTCACTAGAAAAGGAGGAGAAGGCTGCAAATAAACAAACCGACTACTGTACCAGGACTGAAGGAGCAGAAACCACTGCGCCGGAGGAGAGCATGCAGCTCATCAACCTGACCCCCAGAGGCCAATGCCAACAGTAAGAGCCTTAGAAAAGCAATCCTGAACCGAGGGGGCCACCACAAATTAAGGAGAAGAGAGAAGAGTGCACCCTGTCCAATGACCAGGACGGCTTAGGCGGCACATGAGCAGGCAGGTGGTGAAACAAAGCACAAGAAATCTCACAGATCAGGGCAGTAAAGACATCCACCCCGAATGCAAGTAAGAGCGGCTCTGCCAGCGGCCCCCATTACGAGGCGATAGTACTAGGCATTAAGTGACAGTTCTGAAAAAAGCCAAGAAAGGACAAAACAACTATCAGAACTAGAAGACAATATATGAAGAGAGAGAAAATGGCGGAAAGAACTTCTGGAAACTTCATGCTGCCGCCAAGACGAAACTCTCAGATGGGACACCATCAACAAAGCCACCTGATCACCATACAAATGGAGATAAACCTGCGTCAAAAAGACCAGACACGATGAGTGAAAGAGAAGACCGAACCAGCCAAGTACTGGACCAGTACGATCCACTGGAAGAGGCGGAGCCGCAGAAAACGCCCTGGGTTCGGATACTGAGCACGCAGTGCCTGAAACTAAGGTTGGGACGACCACCAGGGGGCCAAGAGGGCAACTCTCCCGTGGTAAGACTCCAGCTGAGCCAGAACCCAAAGCAGGATCTGGGAGAAGAGGTACAGGTAACCCCACCTCGACCAGTCCTGCCAAGGCATCCACCGCGAATGCTTCGGGGTCGGGGAAGGGCACCACATATATTGGGAAACGCCATGACCAAGCCGATGCAAAGAGGTCTACCTCCTGTAGCCTGTACATCCGGCAAAGCCAACTGAATGAGTCGGCGTCGACCATCCATTCCGTGTACAGGGAAATGAACCCGCTTGATACCTGCTCCAACAGAACAGACAGAGGCCGTCCACCAGGTTGTTGGACACTCCCTGGATATGAACCGCACAGAGAGCCAAACCCCAAGAAACCAGCAGACGAGCCACTCAAAGCAACCCAAAGAGGCAAAGACTGAAGAGAACCCCTGAGGTTCAAGCAATGAACCACCAGAGAACAGTTCGAATGGAGCGTAACGGTCGAGCCCCAAGCGGACCTAACCCTCTGAAGCTTATCTTGAGGTTATCTTGAGATGATTTCGGGGCTTTTAGTGTTCCCGCAGCCCGGTCCTCGACCAGGCCTCCACCCCCAGGAAGCAGCCCGTGACAGCTGACTAACACCCAGGTACCCATTTTACTGCTAGGTAACAGGGGCATAAGGTGAAAGAAAATCTGCCCATTGTTTCTCGCCGGCGCCTGGGATCAAACCCAGGACCACAGGATCACAAGGCCAGCGTGCTGTCCGCTCGGCCGACCGGCTCCCAAGACAATATCCAGATCTCCGCGAACTCCCGCACAGTGCTGTGAGCCCTACAGAAGGATGGAACCCACCACCCATGGTGGGTCTGATGAGCATTGGTCACAAAGTCGCAGCAGAGAGACAATGTGTCTGTGAACACATCGCGAGAGGGCTTGGGTAGGCGCCAAGGCTCCAACAGAAGCCAGACCTGAGACAGAGTGGTCATCCAAAATGAGGGTCAAAGAATCCAGCAGTTCAGACAAGTCCAGAATGAACTACAGATTTACACAGTCCAGTTTCAGCACTGGAAACAGGCTGGAAACCCACCCGAGGAATGAGGTCGTTTTGACCATGCCAAAGCGCACCCACTCTGAAATGACCTGATGAAGGGCAGGGGAAGAAGCCTGCCCTACCAGCCCCAAACTCCCCCGAAGGAGAAGGAGCCGCTAAACGCCACCAGTGGTTGGATGACAACCCGAAACACCCACGAATCGTGGGCCCAAGCATGAGCAAACAGAGCGAGCCTTCCCCCATCAACGGGGTGAACTGCGAAAGGGCCAGCGTCCCTAACGAGAAGCCGACTGACGAACAGAGCAATCATCGTGCCGACCAGACACGATGATGCTCCTTCCGGCTCCGAAGGAAGCGATAGCTCAGAAACTGGCACCAATGGCCCAGCCAGACCAGTGGAACCCTGGCATGACCCTTCCGAGAACGGCCACCCCCGAGAATCAACAATTCTGACATAGGATGACAACTAGACGAAGCCACCTGCGGAAACTCTCCTCAATAGCAGAGACAGCAGCCTCCTCAAACAGCAACGGACACAACGCCAACAAAAACCTAAGAGCCAGGGCCCAAGCGGATTCCAAAGAGCGAGCACAGCCTGTCGACACGCGAGACGAGAAGCAAAGAACAGACACTGTTTCCTTCAGGATAGGCGCAAGCAACTTCAACAGCACGACCGATGCCCGAGACGGCAAGGCCAGCACACCCGACGAAGGGCCAGCACTCAACACCTCCACATCCTCCTCAACCCAGGTCAAAGATCGCTTGAGAAGGGAAAAGAAGCGCAGGACCAAAGCCAAATGCCCACGGGCACGTAAATCCTCAGCAACAAAGGATCCTGAAAGGGTAGGAACCTGCATGTGCAGCTGCATAAGGCCAACATCCCAAGAAAGCACAGGGGCAAACAAGCACGCATTAAGTTGCTAAAACTCACCCCCCAGGTAAACCTGCAGAATGGTAGAGATGTCTCGCAACTCAAGAGAACGGGTCCGACAGAACCCATGCCATGCCTCTAACAAAAAGAATGGGCAATCTGCCAGCCAGGAAGACTTCACAACCTCCAAATGCACCAGGAAGAGCAGGGATGCCATAGGCACAATCGGAGAACACTGTATAAACATCAGAGGTCCACAGTTGTTCAACATCCTCCCAGCGAGTATAAGAAATAAGGCCGGAACAACCGTGTTATCGTCAAGAGAAAACTAGATCATTTTCTCCAAGTAGTGCCGGACCAACCAGGCCGTGGTGGATATGTAGACCTGCGGGCCGCTCCAAGCAACAGCCTAGTGGACAAAGCTCTCACAAGTCAAGCCTGGCCTTGGGCGAGGCTTGGGGAGTAGAAGAACTTCCAGATCCCCCATCAAGCAGGTATTAAGAAGGTAAGCACCCAATACGGGGCAAGAAGAATTGAACTCAAATAAGGATGGAGGTAGAATCCGGGTCTCGTAGGAGGTATGCAGCAAGAGCCTCTTGAACCTCCTTAGGAGAGATTTGAAAGGCAGAAAACCTGCGAAAGGAAGGAGCCGAGAAACCGAAGGGAACCCGGAACCAAACCTGGGGAAGAGCTGACCGCAAATCATACTCATACAGGGAAGGGGGGTAAGAAAACTCCTCTCCCACTGCAACAACTAGCCTCGTGAAGAGGGCGCCAACACCCAAGCGAGGTCAAAGGAGGCGCAAGGCCCCCAGGTCAACGCCTTCCCAGCCCCAGGATCCCTCAAGTTGGGACCCAGGGCAGAGCCGGCCTCCATACCCTCTACTCCTGAAGAAAAGGCAGAGTCCAGGGAAAATACTGAAAAGAAGGGGCCCGGCTGGTGGGACCCAGAAGCCTCAGAAGGAGGAACCTGCTTGAATGCCTCCATCCCCAACCCAAACAGGGTAGCTCCCAAAGCTGCCCGAGTCTCATTGCCAACTAAACTCTGCCATGACCCCGAAACACTCTCACATTTGAGAGCCGGAAGCAGGAGAAAGTGCAGGATGAACAACAGGGAAAGGACCAGGGAGTACAGAATGAACCAAAGTTGAAGCAACTAATGTCCCCAGGTCCAGGTTTCTATACCCAAAGAGGGGCAGCCGCAAGG